TATTATGCACATCGATAAGTTTGTTGATTTCATTCAAATATTTCACTTAAATTGCTTGTTGTATAGTATAAGTAATCGTGAAATAATCAGCCTCACTAGGACAATTTGACTTTTCTTTATTGTGTGGTGCTATCTGAGCTAAATGTCTTAGTTGCAGAACAATAAGCATCTGCTGATGAGTCTGTCTAGAAGACTAATGACAGTTTCACAACTAAATTACTAGTCTCAGAGAACACAACACAAACAAAAGCATCCACCTCAAGTGTGGATGTTCTCCACCATTTCAAAAATAGTATAACTGTAATCAACAGTGATATATGTTTGAGTACCAAGAAAAATATGACTGGATATTTCAGGAGTTACTTGTTACTTGTTAATGAATATGATATTTTTTGAATGGCGCTTGAATCGGTTAAGTGACAAATGTTTACTACTTTATAATCAACAGATTTTATCCATCATGAACTACAACAATACATAAATAGTCCGTTGTACAATTCAAACTTGGATTAATTTTAATTTGGTTATTTATTCTCTGATAAAGTGACTTACACCAAGTCACGAAATGTCAGAAAATCTATTTTTTCTACTCATTGGGATATTACAAATATATTATTTATTTATAACAATCTACCCAATGCTCAGTTTATTCGAAATTATCAAGTCAAACCTAGGTAATGATACCTACAACAATATATCTCCGCTTAATAAGTGGATATTAAACAGTTGCATCCTAATCTCCGTTCCCTTAAAGAGGTTTTATTTAACTTACTAGCACACAATAATATGATCCACAAAAGAATGTATCAGCCACCGACAAAATTGCTAATCAGGTATTCGGTATAGTTACATCACATTTATAATTAATATATCAATATAAATCAATTAAACAAGCCCAGTAGTCAATCGTTTCATCAGTTTATTGATAGTGGGAATTATGATGGATAAGTAGAAAATGTTAAGCTGAACCACACTTATTTACACAGATATAGTGAAAACAATTTTGTTGTGAATTACTAAAGAAAACACTCACTTATACCATTGTGACTGCTCTATCTCTATCTTAATATGGAATGAAAATGATTATTATAGTGATCAGTCGTAATATTTGGTCTGTTGAATGGTTTGACAAATCTGTTATTTCCACTGTAATCTCTTGCTGGCAAAGCAAAAGCCGAATCGTAGTTCATTCACTTAATTTTTACAAGATTAAATATACACTCAAGTAAGTGTTCATCAGTTCTCTAATTATTTGTATGTTTATTATATGTATATAGCTTCAGATGTCACTAATTCTTTATAAAGGCCAAAACATCTTTGAAGTATTTTGTCCCTTCAAGATTGATCTTACACTTGGTTTATTATATGTGCGGTGCTATCGTCGATCTATTCTTAAGCTTCCTGAGCTTAACTGAGTATTTGGGGACATATTTCATTGTTTGTGTTCCTTCATCCTAAGAGTCAACTGTCTAGATGTTTGTCTTACATATGCTCTTTGATTCATGACACTTAATTTCATAAACACAGTTTTATTGTTTCTTTTTTTGGCGTCTTCCGCTTCACATTCATTAATCCTAATCTAATAGCGTCACTAACTCGAAAATAAACTTTTCGATTATGTTTATTTATAATTCTTTTTCGATCCTCCAATATATTCTTACTGTATGACGTGACTACTTTATTTCTCCATTCTCTTGGTAAATACTCTAGTTTATTTTCTTCATTGTTAGTAATCTTATTCAAAAACTTTTTAGAGTAAATTAGTTACCATAAGTGTAGATAAGACTAAATTTACTTTAGTCTGTTTATCTTCTGTTTCTGTAATGAGCTTATTGCTTGAATGGAAGTGTAATGACTTATAATCTAGTTATCTCTTAGAATACTAGTTATTACATTGTTTTATATCTTTTTTCAATCAGATAATCAAGAAAATCTGCTTTGTAGTTTTCAGATTCTATTTGCTTGATCAATTTATTGCAATCTGATATATTGTTTATCGGTTCAATAATTTTTTTCTCATCCGTCTTGTTTGGTCATTACAAAGATATCATCCACATCTTATAACCAAGTTGTAGGCGGACATCGACATCTTATATATGCATTATTTTTCAAAGCATGGACATAATTAAAGTTACTGGCGAACCGTATTCTACTCTTGTCCTTGAAAAATAAATGACGTGAAACAGACGCATATGGATCTTCTATATACTTCTATATACGTTTATTTAAATTGTCATTTATCTATACTTAGATTCATTTCAGTACTGAGATCGATAAACACACGAATAGCAACCAGTTATACATGCATCCACCCATCAAAATAATAGATAAAAGCACATATATTAGAAGCTATAATTATGAAAATATCTCATATTTCGAAATGATTAAATACAAATATCTCTAATGAAAGTGTATACCTTAGTAAACAAAGACATTTCTTATCAGGACATGATGTAACATGATATGTAGGTAATCGTTTAGAAAGAAAAAAATAGTACTGCTTTAGATAATTCATAAATATGATGATTGCTTATATTATATAAGACCTACTTCTTAGACTAAAAACCAATAATATATCTAAAGTGAAAAGTAATTTAATTTCATTTATGAAACCTCTAAAGCTACAATAAACTAAACCGAAAATATTAATTTGTTGGAAAAATATTTGAAGATAAGTCTTTTCGAATATGTGGACCCATGAATGAAATCTGTACAAGGTGTTTTTTGTTTGATGCTTGTTATTATGCGAAAATAAAAGAAACTTATCATTGTGCATAACAAAACTATTCAAGTTCATTTCAGAATCAACCATACAATTGTACGGTATAACAACATTATATTTATGCGTTTATCTGTATTAGTTACTTCAGTTAAGTCATTTATGAGATGAATTAAAGATCTTAAGTAATTTCTAGAAAGTCTTCACATTATTAGACCAACTATGAAATATCCTTTCAAGACTACTTATTTGAACCCATATTACAGTATTAAAAAGAAGAATATATTTGTAAAATTCATTCGCTGAGATTTTACAAATATATTCTTCTTTTTAATGTCTCAAATTAACTCGGCGCCCAAATATTGTGAAACTATTCGTTCAAATTTAGACGAAAGTTCTTATTTACCATATTACAGTATTATAAATCCGTCCAGCAGTAGGCAATTAACTTGTAAATGTCACGTTGATCATTCGTATATATTCTGCATCCAGACTAACATTTTACTCATTTTGAGAGTATTTTGTTCTTCAGGCTGGATGATTTAATTTTTAAGCCTTCATTTTCTTTATCGACACTATCATCAGCAGACACTTCATTATGAAATAAGTTATTAAAATTTCTGCACAATGGACGAGCTGCCTGTTCTATTGACATAGAATTTAGTTGATTGTTGTCCATAAGTGTATGGCCGTTGTTCATATACTTATTTTGATTGTGTTCACGTCTAACCTGGTCGTTGACGTTGGAGTTATTTATACTTTTCTCTATTGATTGATAGATCGAATCAGTTTTGATATGTCTTTTGAATGACGTGTTACCGGAGTATCATACTTCTAAGAATTTTCTAGATTTCACTTCACTTCTATCTGAAGTTTGTGCTGATGATGTCGTTCAGAAGAACGATGAAAGCTCCACGACCAAACCATCCAGCTCAGAGAACGAAACTCCACCAAAATCATCCACCTGAGCTACAAATCTTCTCCACCATCTCAAAATCATATGCACTATTATTCTCTTGCACCCTATTTGACCCATATTTATTCCGATCATGGATCTTAAAATTTCACTTAACAAATACGCAGATTCAAGTTAGCATTCTATCTGAGTCATATCAACCTTAACAATTTTATTGTATTTTGTTTATCACAATCCTAAATTTACATGCTTTAAACGATATACTTTGCCCTTAACCTGGCCATTTTTTGAATTATTAATTTGAATATATAATTGTAGAACCTGAAGAGAATTTATCGAAAAGAATATTCTTCGTTCAAGTACTAGTCTTTTGATTATGAAGACGTTATAGGTTTGTGCTTTACACCTCTTCCTAGAGGTCTAAATAATCTGCTTGTGATCTTGGGGATTTTTTCTATATAGAGTATAATTATCTGTTTGATGATTTCTGTTGTTTGTTTTAAGCTTGGTGGTCGGCTTGATGTTTCTTGGTGAAGTGTTGTGTGCTGATAATGTTATCGAGAAATAAAATAAAAGCTTCATGATTAAACCATCCAGCTCAGACGACATAGCACCTGCCAAATCCTCATCTTGAACTACAAATTTTCTCCACCATTTATCTTCATTCACAAGAATAGGAATAACTAAAAAGACTTAGTTATCTCTAAATTAATTGTAAATTAACATTCATGTAATAGAAGTGCGATGGAATGACTGATTGCATTTTAACTCAACAATTGTTTTCATGTTGACACGATACCCTTTTGCATAAATATTGCTACTAATCCATCTTGATAAATATCCAAGCTCTCAAGAGTGACATTTTCAGTCCCAAAGTAAGAATAATATTTTTGTACTTTTGTTTATTTTACATCTCTGTTGCCTTATTCAGCAAATTATTTTTATGAATAGTAATAGTGTTATCATTACCACTATTGCAAACAGACATATCATCAAGTATTATTACGATGAATAGGTATATATTTTTCATCGTACAATTTTGGGAATGAATTGGCCGAAAGGAGTTATTGATTGGACCAGTCTATCTTGACTTTAAAATACCGATGCTTTCTCAAACCCCTTCTCTTTCTAATTGAGTTTAATGACCATGAGGAAATATTAGTCAAAATAAATCCCAAGAGTCGATTAAAACAAATAGTTTGGAGTTGCTTCCTATCAATAAAGAGCTACATATCCACATTTTTTATAGAATAATGCTCATTTAAAATTTATACAAAATATTTTGCCGCTCACTAGTTTTCATTCAGTGATAACTATAGTAAATGATACAGACTTTACAGATAGCAGATTATTTTTATATTTCAGGAAACAGCATCAATTTTGATAATTCAATGAACAATACTAGTCACCTGGTAGTTGATTCGTCTCAGTATCATCAACATGGAATTGCACGAAACAACATGAGAAATTTAATGCCTTCTGGATCATTAAATTTATCATCTGGAGCAGCTTCATGCACAAGTACAGTACCTTTGTCATATGGTTTAGGAACAATGGATATGTCTTTATTAAATTCAAATGAATCGAATTATTGTATTCGTTCGTCACAAAGACAAACCGTTAAAATCAGACCGACTAATATTGGAAGACCTGACTTTTGATTTACATTCATTTCATTAATAAATAGTGTACAGTGTACTTGAACAAAGTTCAACTATGGCTATATTTATCCACAATAGCATATATTCACCAACTTATAAACAAGAGATTATATCAAGGAAACTGTGTAACATGGAACAAAACTCAAATGTGGAAAGAATTATATCCTGCAAGTTTTGCTCAACCCATAATAATACATAATGACAATATATTATAAAGTCATTTCATAAATGCTGATTCCTTCACCTTTTTTCCGTCAGCTAACTATTTATTACTTTAAACGCAGAAACCGTCCTTACACACACACACAGTATGCTCATCTTTGTATATAAATTAATTTGTGACTGATATTCCAGTAATCTCTTAACTTGAATTGTTTTCTTTTATTCTTTTCATATTTGGTGAAAATCAAGAAACTTATCAGCCTATATACCCCAAATTCATTTACATTACCATGAGTTAATCTGTTCAGTTTTTGAGTGAACTTTATCTTAAGTTTACCTGTTCGTTGTAGAGAAAAGAAGATAAATCAAATTGTTCAAAAAAAAAAAAAAGAACAAAGCAGTTGGATAAATTTAACTTGGTATTGGTTAATTATAGTAAACTAAATCAACAACTACTAATTAACCATGATCAATCAATGTAGCCTAGAAAATTCCTTTTTAATTTATTATTATTTTAATTCCATTCTGTTCGTAATTTATAAAACTTGTTTAGTACTTCCATTTGGGAAATGTGTAGACGTATTCAATTCTAAAGAATAATATAAATACTCAGCCTGAATAATTATTATCAATGCCGTACTTTTCTTGCCAACATCCATTCGGAACAAATAAGATAAATGTAAAAAAAGAGAAGAACAAAGAGATACTGAAAACATCGAGAGCAAATATAAACAAAACTTTACTGACAAGGTTAAGGAATTATAACCAAGATCATGATTTAACTTTTTCTAAATAAGTGGCGATACGTTAGGATTCGTAATATCTTAGTTATCACCATGATCAGTCTCCGTAGTATTATCTTAAACACTTCAATCAATCGATTGTATATCTTTTTTTAATATGTGCCATAGATTTTGAATAGTACGGTGATGTCACCTGGTGTCACCTGTTGGTGCTGGAGAGTTTCTTGATCCGTCGATGTGATAATTAAATTATCGATTGTCCGCTGTTGGAGTGATAAAACTAAACAGAAAGTAGCTTATAGAAAATGACATCTGTAACTTCACAAGACTTAAACGAATATTTAGGCATGACAAGGATTGAAAACAGCTTAAATACATTTTGACATACAGTATGCTCATCGGGTGCGAAATTTGATTAATCAAAAAGAAAGAAATGGAACAACATCATGTAATGATCAGTAACTGGTTGACTTTTACGAAAATAATATCTTGTAAATGTTTGTTTCTGATAATTTCCTACAGAAACTAATTCAGATGACTTACAATTACATCGTAATAGTATTAATTCAAAAATGGCTGATATATTAATACAAACACTTGAAATATTATCAAAATCAACAGGGTTATGTCAAATCCGAAGGACATAAGCCAACAGGACAAATCGTATTTCAACCCAAATTTTTCATGTAAGAATCAACATAACACGAAAAGGAACTATATGATAAGACTACGAGTGAAGATACCTAAATTTCCTTTATCTCTAAAGAACAATGTACTAGCTACCTTTACAAATATCTCAATTCAATTTACAGTGTTTGGACAGTATACAGAAGTTTGAATGGATCAGCTTTTTATTCATACACAACAACCAAGCTATATTATATGTATCAAGAAACTCGGACGCATTTTACTTAATCCAGGAGGTGATTAAGTAAGGTCACTTGTGGAACTATGGTGGAAATGATATTGAACTCTGCATGCTACAAACTTAATCTTCATAAGAGTCGACATTAGGTTATTAGTGATAGGCTAAGCTTAATATTAGCTTCAGAGCAAGTACCATACCAGTTCAATATAACAGCTCGACTTAATGAATTGTTAATAGAGAAATAAGGGAATAGATTCGAGTTTTAGGTAAGATATCAATAGTTAACGGAATGCAGTAGATCCAACTAAGGAGTTCTATATACGACAAAACACGTCCCATATATTCGAGAAGAAATATTTTATTCTAAAGTAAATCGTTTGTTTCTCTACATAGAAGTAGTTGTTTACTAATTTGTCAATAGTGTTTATTTATATGCCAGGGGAGTGTGAAAATTAAGCTCGTCGACTGAAAATTAGTACTTACAAAAGGATGTGTGAACGATGATAACTTTCAAAACATCACTTCAATATAGTGAAATTCGACTGGACCACATTATGAAAACCACAAAGTTTGGTTAAGACGACGAACCAATCAAGATTAAGATCTCATCATCACAGTACGAAAATCATTAATGAAAATCCACTATGGATCGTATCATAACTAGTTTCAACGAAAAAAAAAAAAAACAGGTGAGACTATAATTTATGGACGACCTTTGAGTGACGCTAAAGTGACCTTGAGAATGTCCACCTATTAAATAGGACTAAATGGGAGTTGTAAAGCAGTTTGAGGACTTAGAATTATAATTTACAGTTGATAGTTATGGATAGGAATCAGATTTAGGGTTTTCATCATGAACTGACATCAGTTACAATGCCAAAAGTCTATTTTGCCAAATGGATGAGGGAATTTCGCGCCACAATCCGAGACCTGTTATCTTATACCTTATTGGTTTGTCCATAAATTAGTCTCGCCAAGAAACATTAAAAACTATTTACTACATTTTGTCGGCAGTAAACTTTGGTTAAAGAAGAGAAAGATATACGAGATAGTGATGCTTCTTTGGAATGTATATTTATAAGAAAAATCGATCAGAAATAGGCAATTCGTAAAGTAACATCTCGGCTTTTTATTTATTTCAGAAATAAGTTTTACTAAGAAATACTGGTTACAGGGGAAAACTTGATTATTCATGTAAAAATCATACTTACATTGTAATTTTCTTTATTTTATATTTTAAATTATTTGTGTGACCCATTTGCTGATAGACTAAAACTGATCTAAGTCATTTAAACAGTTCCCCAAGGTCGTCGCTATGTTTAAATCTTACCGAAATTGTTATTAGTTATTTGTTCAAGACAACAGAAACACATAAAACTGAATGACTTCATTAAAACAGAAATATTTATTTATACACACGTATACATACATAAATACGCGCTATACATTGATCAAAACAACACAATCATGTTTTTTGTATGTACTAGCTATTCAATCTGATTTATTCCTTATAACAGCTGAACTTGTGATGACTTGAAGATGTCATTTATTTTCCGAAAAAGTGGCTTACAACAGATTCAGATTCTGCAAAAATTCAGTTTTTTTCTCACTGCTATGTTACAATATACTCCTATTTTTATTATCAGATTCACACATAGTTAGATATAAATATTTATAGCACAGTTGGCCTTTTTTCAGTGTTCGGTATCACTACTTGAGATATTATTGTCACTCAACAAAACATTTAATCATAGTAATACACATAGCCTATGATTAACTAAAGGTCATCCTCTTCTAAATCCTAATGCCAGTATTAACTTATTCAGAAAGAAATGATGAGGATATATTTATAAACTTTCGGTGTATACTTAGTTGTAGTAACGAACCCAAGCACTATACAATTGTAATGCGATACTATATTATGAAGACTTACCATGGAACAATTGATTAGTAGTTTTGTTAATCTAGAGCTTTTGTTGAAACTTACGAAACCATTAGATGTTTACGTGTTTTTTTAATTACCAAACTATGAACCTAAGTTTCTAAATTTATACATTGGTTGTAAATCAAATTTGACACTACTGGTGAAGACATTGAAAATGTTGGACTGAACCAGTGTGTTGTATAGAAATGATATTTTAAAATTTATATGTGACTCAACGTGATTCATTCAAACTAGATTAAAGCTGACAGTCCTCATTTTTTTAATCATATATACATAATTTTTTTTGTCTAAATTTTACATCAAACTAGCTAGATCTAGACAAAAAACAAACGGAGTAATTTATATTTTGTAAAAGAGCAGGTTACATCTAGCCAATGATTAAGCCTGTACTGAAGCATCATTTGCATAACAAACATTGTTATTAGTGCCCATTCGTTATCTGATAGATTTTCAGATGGAAAATCTAATAAATTAGTAGTGATTTAAGTTAGGAGAGAAAACAATGTTTTAATTTATTTTTGTTTCATTAAAAGCGCTATACAAATAATGTATCAACTTCACTTGTCCCCCTGTAACAAAGATAAAAAGCGCCGAAATTGTGCGTGATTTCTACAATGCAAGAGATAGAAAAAATGAGGCGGAAATCAAATGAAAAGTGAATAATAATAAATTGATTGTATGTAATGAAAAACCTAATAGAAAGTCCATTAATTTATAAAGGCTGTAGTCAGAAGACTGATCATAAATACATTTTCCTATATCTAAATACCTATTTATCTAGTGAATAATTCCAAGCTAACCAACATGGGCATTTAAATTTACTTTTTATTTATTTATTTATTTTAGACGATATTTAGTTTGTCTGTTAATGTGCGTCAGAAACTTTTGGCCGAATAAATTACCACAGTTATTGACAAACGCACGAAAATATTAATATCGGACTTCACTAAAAGTTTAAAAACCACAGAAACACAGCATAAATATCCTTGAAACTTTATTGTTAACCTTTACTCACTTCATGATAGTTAAGTAAATTTTACTTTATCATTTCTACTTTGCTACATTCTATACAAGATCACAAATATTTAACACTGCATTTCTTCGATTAAAGCTACTCCCATGAAATCAGTTTTATTATAAATTTGGTAGCAATTTTTAATTTAGTTTGATATAAAACTGTTATGACTGGCCGTTAACTGTTAAGTCTAGTCGTTGCCAATTATTACGTCGGCATCGCTATGACTTATGCTTGTAAAATGAGGAATCACTGCAGTTTTTCACCACACGAATTAAAAACACCAATACTGGCACAAATCAAAATTTATTAACCTCAAAACATGACGAAAACCCTTGTGTCGAAAATACACTCATTTATATATTGATTGTACACCCAGCTTCATTAATCACACTGTCAAATAAAGACAAATATTACTCTGAATAATTAACGCATTGAATTAAAAAACACGGGAGTAATGTTGACCAAAAATCACAATGAGCAATAGAAAGTAATTTTGCCTTTTTAATCCCATTATATCAATAAAGATAACTGAATATTTTGGTAGTATTTATAGGATGTAGGTAAATGCTATCAAGATCGAGAATAATGTTTTGTCAACTTTAAATTCATTCATGTAATTGATCTCTCTTGAAAGGTTCATAAGTGCTATCCACTATATTCATGTGTAGTTCAGTTCAAGTAGTTATGATGTTTGAAAAACGAATCAGTGACTAGAACTTTTCAGTTAGATCACTGAATCTTATTATTTCTTTCTCACAGGTTGTTATTTAGTCATGAAATGAATTGGGGCTTGAACTTGTTTGGGTTTCTCCAGTAGAGTTAACGGAGATGTTGTCTTTTAGCATACTTAATATATTGTTTTAGAATCGGTAAGAATTCTGGAGTACACTTTTGTTTGAAGCAGCCCATACACATTTCTTCTTCGTGAAATCATGAATAATTGTCATCTATTAAATAATGTTATGTGGAAGTCATGGAATTGAAATATTTATTTGAGATTTTCAAGTCTCTGCAGTTAAGAACCTGCTTCATCAATATTTTTTT